TTCTAGGAAAAGACATTTTCCTACAAGAAAAGGAAGCATTAGCTAATTGTTGAGCTGTCCTGGCCGAACTCTCCTGGCAAAAGCTCGAGGCTTGCATAAATACTAAATATATGGACCTATCCTATCATTGGAACATCCATTATTTCTATTTTTTTCCCTGTAAGTTATGTGAATGATTTGTCAGTTTACAATGCCAAACATAGCTCTTAAATCTTTTAAAAAGTTGTAAGTTTTCAAACACACACCCTCAATGCATTTTACTATAATTTTCTATAATAGACCAAGACAAACTTGTGTTTAAATGTGAAGTATAACAATATATATTTATGTTTGGATCTTTTTTCATATAAAATTAGAAAAGTTTGTGTAGCACAGTTGCTTACAGGACCGATGTCCTGTAAGCAACAGTTATTTAGTTGTAGATGTGAAAGGAAATATTCAAGTATTACTTAGATTTGAAGCGTTTTGTTGTATGCCTGCTTGTATAGTGAGTGTGATACTTTTTTTTTTCTGGAAGGAGAAAATTCACCCCAATCTCAAGGGTTCTGCAGCCTTAGGGTTTCCTTTCAAGGTGCAGGGTTTTGTTTGGTGACTATATTATGTTTATTGCAGCTCCTCTTTCTTCCCATCAGCTCTGACCAGCCTTCCTTTCTTGCTAAAGTAAAGCAGCTTCATGACACGGTGCTGGCATCAACATGTTTCTTCTGTGAGGATGCACATAGTTTTCCAAAACATATAGAATTTTGCATACAGCAAACATTTAATTTTAGTCTAGCTGCAGACGAAACTTCCAGGGATTTTCTTTTGCTGACTCTTCCATAAAGGCCAGGATTTGTAGACTGCAAGCCTAATAGATATATTATCAACAGATTATCTAACATGAGCTGTGGACCTTTAGATGCCTCTTCAATTAATGCTTTACTTGTCTGAAGTGCTGCTATGTTTGCAGCTTTGCCATGTGCTGGTGTTTTCTGATTATGAATTTTTCATCAGATCTCTGTGAGATTTTTAAAGTTTGGGCTCTCATTTAATAACTAACACTGATTCAAATTTCTTCACAACTTTCCTCCTGACCAGCTTGATGTGTCCCTTGATCCTCAGGTTGCTGTTCTCTATTAAACCGTTGAACCCTTCACAAACCATATCGATTTATTATTAGATTATGTTACAAAAAAGGGCGTTATTTACTAATTTGGTGATTACTGAAGACAGCTTGTTGCAATGGATTTAATTTTGGGTGTCATTGTAAAAAGGTCTAAATCTTAATGCCAATGTGCAAAAATTGTTAAATTATGTAGAAAATTATTTAACTTTACAGTTATATCAGGTGAAATATCTGTGAAATATATCGGTGTGATTATAAGCTCATATAATTTTTAAAAAGTTCAAGGTGTTTGAAATCTTTCATGACACTATATAGAAGACATAAAAGTTTAAATAAGTTAATTTTACTTGAAATGCTTGTATTCTCTTTTGTTTTGAGAAGGTAATTAAGAGGATTTGCCAATGGAATAAGATGATATTTAAAATAAGAAAAATATGAAAAAGTGAATAACCTCTATTTAGCATATTTCCAGGGAAAAATAACCAATTTCATTGGCGAATGAAATTATTTGTGCTCACATTAAGAGCAACTCTCATTTTAAGACATTTTTATTTATTTTCAGATCAGATTTTGCTGTGACATCTGTGGGCTATTGGAGCATTTTTTAAAAGCAATGTTTTTAAAGATTTGAATTTCTGGGAAATTCAAATCTGGGATTTAAGATCTTTTTTTATTTATAAATGATTCTTGTATTAGAATCAAGAATCAAAAAGAAAGAAAAAGATATAAAAGAAGGAAATAGAATAATAAAAAAAGAAATGAAATAATTTTTGTGAAACTAAAGAAGGGGAGGTCTTATGGAAGAAGTAAGAAAATAAAAATATAAAAGATGTCCAAAGTGTTTTTAAAGGGGGGTTTATTTTTCACTTAATAATTTATATTAGGTCAAATCTGTATACTACTGACAGTAAAGCCATCAGAGAAAACAAAAAAGGACCTTCTGAGGTTGTATTTCCTAATGTGGATACAATGACTTTTTGACAGGGAAAGCATCTCTTGCCCTTCTCACTAGCTCCTTCTTTTGCCTATTCATTGCACAAAGCTGCTTAAGCACACTTAAGCGCATTAGCATTTGGCTGCCAGGGGACCATATTGACCCAACATTTGGATGGCCTAAATGAGTGAAAGATGGAGCGATTTGTTGGGGCTTTAGAAATTTCCTTTTGGGAGTGGGGGCAAGCACGAAGGAGGCGGTGGAGCTGTGTGGGGAGGGGTGGTCTGCAAGGAGTTGTTCCACTTTCTCTCAGGGTACGGTGTTTGTTCTAATCTGGTGCGCCATTTCTTCATGGCCGAAGCAGGTCTGATTTGTGACATTTCAGCCTAAGAGCTTTTTTCTTTCTTTTTTTTTTTCTACCGGCTATATTGGCCTGACCCGATTAGCTAATCTGTGCTTTGAATTTCAATCAGTCCTCTCAGCCTCTGCTGTGTGCTATGGGAACCTCTGGCTGAGGGATTTCCTTATTCAGCTGTCTTCAAACACAGATGGCCGAATGTTTAACTAATTGTTAAGAGAGTTCACAAAGCCGAATTTAACCCTGCACACAGGCCAGGGGCTAAGTACATAGATGAGACAAAAAGGAGGGACAGTGAGGTGGGAGTTTGTGGGATGGTTCTTTAAAACAAGCATTTGAATGCAACACAGTGTTGGGTATAAATGAACATCTGGTTAACTGTAAGGTGTCCCTGATTTGAACATTTGATCTGCAGTATCATGATAAACCGTTGAGATCAGCAGTTAAAATGCATGCATCATTGCTTCAGTAGTGCTGTCTGAAACATTTTTAAAGCAATAATCAAGCTTCTTGCATAATTCTGACTGAATGATGATTCATTTCATTTGAAATTTTCGGTTGCCATGCCTCTACCTGATATTTAAGCATAGTCACAAAAATTAGTTCACCGAATTCCCTTTATGCAGACACTGGAGTCTACTGCATAAATTAAATTGAGACATTTAAATCAATTTTAAAACATTTTTTTTCCTTACAGATTTGATCCACACCTGCACAAAACTGTTGGTGCTTCTTGTTTAATGAAAGAAAAACCCAAATTGTTCACAGACATAACTTAATTCTGACAAATGTAATGATAAAAATCTAATGAAAATGAACAAATTAAAGTCAGACATTGCTTTTCAACCATGATTCAACAGAATGATTTAAGAAATAAACTCATAAAACCGGCTTGGAAAAGGTACACATACAAAAGATAGAAAATAATGTGAGCAAAGGGGCATGTTGGATCAAGGTGTGTCCACTAATTGACATCACAGGTGTCGACAATCTAGTAATCAGTCAGTTGGCCTACCTATATGTACTGTAGGGCATATAGGATCAGATTCTCAGAAGAATTGTTGGAGTTTATTTGAATCAGTTGATCTTCCAATAACCATTTTTTTCTTCAAAAAGACAGTAACTGAACAGTTGTGATGAGGAGGATCTACAGTACAGAAAAATGACGACAAACTTTAGTCCATAAATATAGTATCAGCTGTTGCCAATGGGTGGTTTTACTGCCAAAGGACCTGGTCAATCAAAAAGAGTCGATGGCAGCAGGGTCGGACTGGGAATGAATTTTGGTCCTGGCATTTTTCCATCTACATCGACCCACTACCACGTGGTAGTGGGTCGAAAAAAATAGAAATAAAAGGGGAGTCAAATCAATACGATTACACATTGTGGATTAAACGATCATCACACGACAACCATAACCAAGACTTCTATAATGAGGTTTTACTGGCTTTGGTTATTTAACACGAACTTGACAGTGACTTCTGCTGCGCAACGTCCACTTGCACAAAGCCAGCCAGACACCCACTCACACGCACCAGGTCTACAACGTAAGCACGAGTGTTGCAAAAACATCAACATAAAACGATACAATATAGAGGCAGACAGGCAGTCCTTCAAGAATGAATCCATGAAGGCTCAGCGTTGTATAAACATTCACTGCGAGTCTAGGTGGCATTTAGGCAATAAAATGAAATAACGTAATAGATGCAAAACCCCATCATGCACCGCAACATATTTTCGAAAAATATTCGAACATAAATCCGCCAAATATAAGAAGAAAATCGTAGTTTGGTTTAAAGAAAGCCTTTTTGTTTTATTATAAATAGGTTTTTTTGCAAGGATTTTACAAAATAGGAAATGACACTATATGCCTACCGTCACAAGGATGTGCATAACAATGAAGGGCTATATATACTGCATGTATCATTTAGTAGTTAACATTGTTTTACTTCTTGAGCTGCTTGAGTCATTTACACAGGTAGGAGCTTCGGCCGCAGAGTAAGTGTTGGGGCCGGTATGATTGAAGGAGGGCCAGCCCTCGATCTCTGAAGTTAGAACCGGCCCAGCGGGCAAATGCCCGGTATCATAGATTACCAGTCCGAGCCTGGATGGAAGGATCCAGAAGGAGGGCTACATTCTATTTCTTCGGCCTTGTGTCGGATCAAGTAAATTACTGGCTAAACGTTAAACACAGAAGTTCAAAAGAGGCATGATTTGAAACGCATATCCATGACGGTTTTTGTGATAGAAAAAAAAAAAAGAGTAATATTAAGGTTCTGAAATAGCTTTCCCAAAGCTCTATGTGGCCTCAAGATAATTAAAATTTTCTCAACTATGCTTAAGAGCAGAGGTCTGGGAAAATAAAAAATTAAAACATAAGAAAGTGTGCAAAGAACAGTGGGTGAATGTATAGCTAGAAGGGTTTGAAATAGGCAAGTGGTTGAGGTGAAACTGGCCTTTGAATTTCCTCCAAATTATGGAAGAAAATACACAGATTTAAAATTCAGTGGCTGGAAAGTCCTTTCCAACCAAAACTCCATGCTTGTATTTTTGCTACCTGTGTTTCCGGAATGCCTCACTATCTTCCTCTCCCTCTCTTCCAGACTCTCTGTTCTGCTGCCACCATGCAGGCCGTCAAAGACCCCAACACCAATGAAGTGGACAGGCTAATATTCAGAGAAAGTGGTAATGATCAAAAGGTTAGTTGTTTATTATTCACTGATTACAACTCACCTGCGTTACTCTGGGATATCAAAGATGCATCTGTAATTAGGTGTAAAAACAGCTTTATTGCATTGTTCTTTTGCTCCACCTGTCTTGGTTTAAGATTGTGCCTGACCTCAGCAGCAATAACACGATGCCGTCTGCCTCTGCTGCTCACTGATGTTAATTAAACCTCTAATTACCTCTCATAATAACTGTCATTAATCAGAGCACGTTTAATCTTTTTCTTTTCATTTAGGTTATTCTACAAGTTCAAAAGAAGACTTTTGAATATGTCAACCAGAACATTTTCCGGGAAAACAATGGGACCTCAGTAAGTTGACCCTTTACATCTTAACCCATCAAATGCTCACCTGCCCACTGATCTACTACTAATCTATTACAATATTAAATTTATCCTAACAGCATCATAGACTCACTCGTTTCTTTATGCTAACAGCAGCTGCAGTGTATAACAATTTAAATGGATTATCTGTGAAATGTTCAAAGGCAAATATAGCATGAAGGAGCCACAACAGATTTGATTGAATAGCTTTTACAGAGTCCAGTGAGAATAAATAAGCACATGCTGAGAAAATCTATTTGCAGTTTATAAAGTGAGTCATTGAAGAACGCCCTGCATACAGTAAGTCGGCCTTAAAAAGCTTCCCATGCCTTGTTTTGGTGCTAGTGTTGTAATAACAGTAAGACCAGACCTTTGCAGGCAAAACTGGTTCTAGGGTGGCACCAGTACTTTCAGTGCCGCCCTAGAACTGGATTTGCCAGTTTTGGGGATAGAGATGGGATGAATTTTAGCAGGCAAGAGCTGGAAAGAAGTTCACCTTCATGTAAAGATGGCATTTGAACCCAGATGTCTTTGGAATAAATTTTGACTAAGCATGTATGCACAGAGATCGAGTGTTAAGTATGTGCAGCTGAAAGCCCCTTTTACATTCCTCTGCTTTTATATGCCTGTATATTACATTAAGTAGTTCAACATTGCAGCTTGTTAAATTCTTAAAGAGGCATACACACCTACAAACACATGCATCGACAGAATAGAGCATGAAGCAGGAGCTTATTAAAGCTGTTTGACTCATAATATAAAAAGTTAATATAAGCCCAGGACAATAAATCAGCAGTCATTTATGAACCTCTAAAGCCAAAATAGCCAAATTGCTGAACGCTAAGAATCACCTGGATCTGAATATAAATTTAGAACATAAAAAATCTCTACTCAATTACATAAAGCAGCAGATTTATTATAAGAGAATGGAACAGAAACACTTTTTGTTATCTGATATGTAATCATATTAAATGGTTTTTCAAAATATATAACATTTCCTTCAACCTTAGCCCCAATTTAATGGTTTGAAGCAAAAGTCTGGGCTGGATTTTAAGCTGGCAGAGTATGACTCAGCATTTGACCTTCCTGTTTCTCCCCTGTCACGGATCTCTTTTATGCTTTTCATGGACTGGATCCCAATCCATACATGCAGAGTGGCAGAAGTCTTTACTTCTTGCAGATGGTTTGCTTCTCTAAAGCCATGACCCTCAGATTGCACTAAAGTGATTTTCAGCATGACACAAAGCAGCCAAGATGAGGTGGAATCTCTAAACCTGAAGTCATGGTTCCTAACTTGAAAAAGGTGGATCCAGGCTGGAGGTCAGTCTTTGCTTAAAGCAGAAAAGTTAATTTAATTTAGTGTCTTGTTCTGAAGTGACGATAGGTTGGACTGTGAGACAAATTGGAGCCTTATAAAGTTATGATTTACTTTTTTTATCCTACGTTCAGGCCTTATTTATGGTCTGCAGATATAAAGCCCAACTGAAAAAAATAAGGTTTCTTTTACAAGAAGCTTAATTCACCAAATGTATCCTCATCTAGAAGGTGGAGGAGCTAAATTTTGGGGATCGAGAGTGGAGTAGCGCTGATTGGTTCTGTTGATGACGTCCAGGTGTCTGATCAGGAGGATTCTTGGTGACTAAGTTTGGATTACCTATGATCTTGAAAGCGCACACTTTCACAGTATGTTGTTCAGGCAAAACATGGTCTTTGAATAGATGTGCAGAACGCTTAGAGAGTTGCTTATTCAAACTGAGACAGTCTACTGTAACAGGGTTTCCGTGGGTCATTAAAAGTCATTAAAAGTCATTAAATTATTATTTTTTAAATTAAGACCTTAATTGGCATTAAAATTCATTAAATTTGATAATCGTGGCAATAAAATGCTTCGGAAAAGAAGCTTGAGGCGGAGAAAAGGCTAGAGAATGGGAAAAATGCAAATTTGAACCAAAGTGGCAGGAAAACGAGGAACTCAGGACATGGCTGCAGCCTGTCCACGGTGAAGATGACGAAGGATTTTGCCGTGTATATATATATCAGTCATGGGTACTTGTTGATGGCATTAAGATTATTTCTAAGAGCATTAAAAAGCATTAAATAAGAGTTACTCATTCATGTATAAACCCTGTGTAAAGCAGCTGATTATACTCTTTGCAAGTCAAAAACCAAACCCGACCTAACAGATTCTAATTTATTTTTTTCTTCATCTAACATTTTAAACTCTTTAGCAACTTTCTCACTAATGGACCAATTCGATTTAATGATATACAACTCACTAAAGGTGCAAATTAAGACTTCTATAAGGTCTCAAAATCCATTATGGATACAAGACAGACAGAAGTGATGTTTTTGTGCCTTTCTGTTAATTTTTCCAACTTCAAACTTAGAAATTTAAACTTGCAGCTGAATTCATTAACCCCTAATCCATTGTATAGATAAAGTTTCCTATTGTTCCTTTTTTTTGTAATGATCCAGATGGGGTAAAACTTATTAGACCACTCTTGTTTTTTTGTTTTTTTTTATTTGTTGAATATCTTCGGTAATACTGTATACAGTTAGAGGAAGAAATTGAAGAAAAAAGGCGCTCTAATCATGCTTTCTGTGACTCTATAACACAAGAAGCTTGAAAAAATCAGGTTTTGTTGTGCCGCTGCTCAGATGTCTGACTCTGTTTTCAGATGAAAACCAGCTATTTATTAAGGGGTATCAGGGGTTATGAGGCTGTCTGTGAAACAGTTCCTCTTTGAGGCTGATCCCCCCCCCCTCCGCCTCAAATTCAGCACCTCCTCTTCCTTTCCTTCCTCCCCACCTCCTCAGCCAGTCAGACAAGATGGATGACATAATGGGGGCATCAGAGATAATCTGATGGTCATGGTCTAGTTAAACACACCGTGTTATGATCCTTATAAAACAAACTACCTTTCCAAAAGGATAAATGTCCCGCCTCCCACTCCTCTGCCGGGGCAGGGTAGAGAAAAAAAAAATCCATTGCATCCTTCATCAACTGCAAGACTTGTACCAGCTTGACAGAAATTTAATTCGAGGCAGCTCTTGAAAATAATTATTGTATTTTGAGAGGAGTAATCATTGGTCGGGACATGATTGAATGTGTCCATGCCTATTGACTTTTGCTATGATTAATAGGTTTGTTTAGTCGATATTCCCATCGAAATTGTATAATTAATTATCCCCGGCGCTGTCACGGCAGGACGATGGAGAGCCCTGATGAGTATTTGGGAAGATTAAATTTTCCAGGCGCTCGTGGCGTCAAGGGGCACCATGGGGCCTTGCTCCGGCGGAGGGATGGGAGGAGCGCGGCGTTCGTGTTCTTGTGTGTGGCTGTGCACACCTCTGAACTCCTGCAAATCAGTTTCCTCCCCTGCAGCACACACACCCGTGCTCTGTCTCTCTCCCCCCATCCGCATTGATTTTGTTTCACTATCTCTTTATTGTAACTTTATCAGTGTGGTGTTGGCAGATGGGGGAGCAGGATGTGTTTGTGTTGTGATGAACCTTCCTGTCCTGCGAGCCTCTGCTCGTCATGCTGCTGGCGTTGGTCCTCGGCATTACTCACAAACCAGGAGATGTTTTAAACAAGAGGAGAACCGCTGCTCGAGCTTAAAGTTCTCTGATACGCTGCCTGTCACTGCTACTAAGTGGCACTTCAAGATCAATGCTAAATAAAATCAGATCGTAAGGGATTTAAATGGATTCTGCAATAGTTATGTCATTTATATTGGTTTGGAAATGTTTACTTAGCTTTATCAAAATAGATAGCTCCTGTGCTGTAGTTATATCTCCCAGTAAAAAACATGCACATTTGGGGTATGCCATTATGAATTTTCCAAACCAATCACTCCCCTACATCACCAGTAGAAACTGAATTAGAAGTTTTTTAAGCAGAATTGATGATAGCAAACGATTTTCATCAGAGATTTAAGGAATTTGCTCTTTTTTTTTTCAGGCAAAATTTAGATCAAAACTCATTAAGTGCAATAACATGAGTGAAAGTGTAAAGAGGAAAATATTAAAGCTATAGATTAAATTCAATCGGCTCTGGGTCAGTTTCCCAACACATACCTTCATGTCCAATCTAGAAATCAACATTAACCCTTTACAGTTCTGTTTCATATCTCTTTACAAACACTTATCATAACTTTGTACTTTAACAGTGGTGAATCAGTTCATTTTTGTTATAGTTGATTATATTAATTATGAAGTGAAATAGTCAGAAATTAGCTCAATCCTGACTTCCACCTTAATTGTGGTTTATTGTATTATCTAGAATGCATTAAATTATACTCTAGTTTATTGTTTAGGGCCAGCTGACTTTCTGATCTAAAGAAAATTGTAACATATTGCAGACCTATAACTGATTTCCTCATCAAAATACTAATATATGATTATAAAAAGTGACTTTAAATCCTAAACTGTCCAGATTAAAAACAGTCCAGGTTTTGGTCATAGATATGGTTGTAAAACCAACTCTAACTGCCTCATTATTGTACCGGTGAATAAAACTCAGGCCAGACTTTCTTTCTGTGATGTACAACAGTGACTGGTGACCACTGACATGGCAGCTTCCCTTTTGGTCGTTATTTCTAATGTTTCGTTTGCTTTAAGATTTTTATTGTTCCTTTTTTAGAGTTTTTGAGAAATAAAATGCTTCAGATATTAATGATCTAGTTGTTGGTTTTAAATGTATCTATGTTAAATATATTTGAACATTTCCTCAGAATACTTATTAACATCATGATTATATTTACCAATGATATCAAACTGGACTTAAGGCAAACATTCATATGAACTTGTTCACTCTCAGCCTAAAAGGTGTAAAATACAAGTATTTGTTTATTTATTTTTAATAAAAGTGACTTAAGTTTTTAAATGACATTGAAACGCTGTCTAAATTTCTCCTGAGTTTGACTGCAGTTCTGCTGGGAGTGACTCCTCCTGTTCTGACTCACACCACTCTCCCGCCGAGCGCC